AGATAGATAGATAGATAGATAGATAGATAGATAGATAGATAGATAGATAGATAGATAGATAGATAGATAGATAGATAGATAGATAGATAGATAGATCTGACCCACGTTAATAGCTTATATTATCTTTGGGATATTTTAATATGCTTAAAAATTTTTCTGGTACTAGGAGATTAAATCCAAGGTCAAAGTAGAGGTCAAAAGGTCAAATAAAGGTAATATCTTAAAACCTGAAATCTGACTGCTTTTTTATGAATGAATTAAAAGAGAGTCCATTTTTTTCTTTCTTTTTTTTTTATAATAAGAAAACCCCGGTTCAGTGCTTTGTCATGCAATATCATTTTATTACAAAAAACGTTTTTGGTCTTTTTTTTAATCAAATCCCCTCATAATGGCGATGGCATACTCCCTCACTTTACGTTCACCCTCCATGTCTATGATTCAGCACATCACCAGTACTCACACAAACAGAAGGTGACATTCATTTTAGCACCATTCCTTATCAAGAATGTTGATGACAAACTCCCAAAACAACATTATAAGTCTAATTCTGATAAATGCACAGGGCGCTCACAGCATATAAAAACAAGTGTGGTTCCACCAAACACAAAAGGACACTTAATTAAATTTATTTACAATAAGATGAATGAAATTTAAAAGAAAAATCTATTTTAAAAAATGTAAAGTGGAGTGTGTAATATCATAATAGTCCTATGACACTTATCTTTTATTTTTCGTACACTTTTATTTCAATGTCCTCAGACATTTTATCTAATCAGAGGGACTGACTGTTACTTTCACTTAAAGCCATTTTAAAAACATTTGCAGTCAAATGCTACATTTGTCACATAAGATCCTGTTAGGATCAGTTATTGAAACAGAAATCTTCCACGTTGTTGAGTTTGATCGTCTGTAGCTCCTGGCTGTCTAATAGCCTGTAGCTGAAAGACACGCGGTTGACAAACTTCCCACTGGACACCATCCTCACCACAGTGTTATCACAGCCAATCTTCATGTGAGCTGCAGGTAGAGCAAAAGGAAATCTTAAGTCTTGACTGGTGTTTTATTTAAAGAGAAGAGGAGGCAGAGAGATGGTGTGCACTTACTTGGTCCAGTGAAAGCGATGCAGAGGTCAGTAATGGGAAGCAGCTTTGATGTATCAATGCCGTTTCCCCCCAGCAGCTGTACAAAGTCTCCTGATTCTGCACATCCAGGCATGGATCTCTATGGAAATCAACATAGAGTGTGATACAAATACTAACTAACAAATACTAAATACTTATTGTGCAAAATAAAGGTACATATAGTGAATTTTTAAGGACAACATATATTATGAGAATATGTATTTTTTAATAAAAAATATCCTAAGATAAATTATTTTAAGTTTGTAAAAAAAGAAAATGTCCTACCAAGCACACTTTAAAAGCTTTTTACCTTTTTTTACGCTGATGTTATTCTGTCTAGAGCTAAGAGAAAGCACAGTGCCATTTCAACTCGTGGAGCTACACCTTGTTGTGACTCTCATTTAAATCACTCCATAACTGATTTGAATCTTATTCCTTATATACCTTATACCTTAGTATGAGATCTGAATTTGTTATGATTTTAGGGGTCTGGTCACTTAAAATCACTAATATTCTCAATGCAAAAATCACTTTTTACTTAAGGTTTCAGTTGCTATATAAACTGAAAAACCCTGTAACACTGAAGATGAATTAAAAGCACTGTGGCAATATTCAAGGGTGTTTAGTGACTTTCTTTACCTTGGGGAGGTGGTTGTAGTGGCCCAGGCTGAACTCTGAGATGCTGATCTCTACTGGATATATGATGGAGAAGCTGCAGTTTCTGTGCTGCTGTGGGATCGCCATTGTGTAACTGCCCTCTGGTGACTGTGACATGACATTGCAGGCTGCAAAACAATAGACAAGGGTGGATGTTGCAAATATGATCACTTTGATGGATGTTCAGATAGAAGCATAGGAATGTACACATAACCTAAAGGCTGGGGTTGTACATGCATGATTCATATATACATGGTGTTAAAGTACCTCTTCAATTTGTTGCATTGAATGACAAATGTCAAAAGGTCAAAAATAATTATATGCTTGTGGTCTGTTACACAAGCATTTTTCAAAGCACTATTTCACTATTATTATTATATCTAATTAGTAAAGATCAGGTAGTTTCAAAGAAAATGAAGAAAACTTTAATGCCTTCACTGAGGTCAATCTCAAAAACACTTAAAAAGCAGGTTCATCATCTAAGTTGCCCTTTCCTTTCATGTTACTGTGGGAGAGCATTTGCAGCCTGTCCTTGGTCCTCATCCAGGAACACAGTGGTGGCAAACTGTCTACTAATGGTGCAAGTGATGACTAAAGCACCATGTCAGGCTGCCAGTATCACCACTGAATTACACATTAATTGCAGTGTAAATGGGCTGAAAGCTCAAATGGTTATGTTTATGTGCATGCAGGGAATTTTAGAGTTTACTTCTGAAAATGACCGTCTACATACGAAAGGGGTTGGTGTGTTTCCTGACTGTCAGGGTGAAGCTGCTGCCGGCACTGTGAATGCGGAAGAAGACCATGGCCACGTTCTGAGAAGAGCGCACGCTTTTCCTCAGCGATCCAGAGTCGCAGTAATCCACATAGCGCTCGAACAAAGGCAGTGGGTGATCGTGGGTGCTGGGAAACTTTTCCCCTTTCATCACCCAGCCGTCGAACACCTTGATGGGATATATATTAAAAGACAGAAGCTTTAAGTAGAATTTTATATTGAATCGCAAATTATTTCTTGATGGTTTTACTAATGATGAGAAAGAATATTAAACTCTTTAGGCTGAAACTTAACCAGTATGCAAACAATAGGGAAGTGATTTTCAGGTAGCTCATCTAAAGGAAGCAGGTTTGTGCCCAATTACTTTATGTTTAAAGAGCATTTTGTCTAATTAGGAACCAAGATAACAGACCCCAGTATTTGGTGACATGGAAACACAGAGCAAAAGCTTTATCACAAAAGCACAAAAAAGTCTATGTCATTACCTGTAATTATACAAAAATTATGCAATAAAATAAAGTTTTAAGCCCTTCAAGCTCAACGTGACCAGATGCATCTACCCATCTTGTGATATTTTGCTCAATATAAGAGGAGGGGAAAGGTGTTTCACGAGAAGCGCTGTTAGCTTACAGTGATGAAGTCTCCTCCCGTGCAGTCAATGTCAACGCTGTCATAATCCACACTGATCACTTCATTGGGCTCTGCCATGAAGAAAGCGGCACAGCTGAGTTGAGGGCGCTCTGCTGTGAAGGTGAACTGGCCCTCCACTGCAACCATGTCCAGACAACCTGAAAGGCATTCCAGGAAAGAATTTGAAAACTTTGCCAACCAAATATGAAAAATTATAAATAAATGAAAACACATTGATCTACTCTAATTACTATTTATTATATTTATTATCCTTTTTTAATATAAATATCTTTTTCTGCTGCGTTTTCATTCATTCTCTACATTCCAGCTCTTTTAGCCTATTGATTATACTTAGGTGTTCATCGAGAGCAATTTTGGTAAAACCAAAATTAAGAGACAGAAAACAAGTCTAATTTACCAAAAGTATACAAAAACGCTACCTCCCCTTTTATCTGTTCTTCAAACGCATAAATTGCAAAAATTAAAAAACAAAAACAAGAAAAACCAGCATAAACCATCAATTATATGTTTATTTAAAATATTATAGATAGATGTCACGTGACTTACGTAAAGGTCGGCGATACATCAACTCTTCGGGCATTTCTCTCTTGAGTTCCGAGTTGAAAAATGAATATAATTCATCTTTTGTGATTTCGTTGTTCTACAGAGAGTGGGAGAGAAGTTTGGCGCGTCTCGTTTGTACCTTTGAATCTTCTAAGAAGTTTCTGTATCTGTCCGGACACTTACCTCAATATACCTGGAGTCTCCCTTGAGGACGGACAAGCACAACACCAGAAAGAAGAGCTGCTCCCGGAAAGTGCGCTCCATAACGCGCATCTCTGTCTGCAAGGCTCACCTGAGCGGAGAAAGTCTGAGCTCCTCCGCGACAAGCGCTGCTTTTTATAGGAGCAAATACTGTAAGGACCAAGTGACATGTTCGCCCACCGTGGACGCCCTCCCCTCCCATACGATCCACTCCTTAAGCAGCCAATTGCGTAGCTGTGACGAGAGCAAGGGACGAATGGATGAAAAAACAAAGACAGAAAGGGAAAAGCTGATCTTCCCTTCCCACTCATCTTCCCTCAAAGCGACTCAGGTAGCTGCTGCAGCCCTCCCAGACTCATACCGATCATTAAAGGTAGAAGCCTGGAAATCCAAGTGTTAAACAACTCACATTGAACATGTTTGCCCTCTTCTCTTTGTTCTAAATAAAATGTGAAACGAGTGATGCATGCACAAGGGCCTTTTACACTGTGTAACAAAAAGGATATTAAATCCTTTCAGTACTGTGCAAAAGTATTGAGCCACACCTTTTAAAATATTGTATAGGATTATTGAACACAGGTGCAATGATCTATTGAGAAATGTGAAAACACACACGAACATGAACTATATAAGACAAAAACATAGTTGTGCATCATTGTTATGACCACCTTTCATGCTTTCTTGCAGTTTCTTCAAATAGTCTTCAGAATTAGCTAAAAAAAAAAGTCCTCCAGGATTCTCAGAGGACATTCAAAGCTCTTGTCTGAATGTTGGTTACCTTTTCTTCAGTTCTCAATATTGCTACGGTCTGGGTTCTTCAGAGGCCAATCCATGGTCCATGACTTGATGTGGTCCATTACTTGATGTCCATGAATTGGGGCGACCGTGGCTCAGGGGGTTGGGAAGTGTATCTGTAACCGGAAGGTTGCCGGTTCGATCCCCAGGCTCTCTGTCCTGGTCGTTGTGTCCTTGGGCAAGACACTTTACCCTACTGGTGTTGGCCAGAGGGGCCGATGGCACGATATGGCAGCCTCGCTTCTGTCAGTCTGCCCCAGGGCTAAATGACTTTAGATGCATGTTTGGAAATGTTAGGCATTGCCCATTCATTATAGGAAATATTAAAATTTTAAAAGCATGACTTCTTAAATTGTTTTGCTAATCAAAATACAGATTCATTACTTGAGCTTAACTGAACATGGCCTATTTCCCCTTTCTGCTTTATGGATACTTTCATTGATGAATCAGAAGTTACATCTGTAAGTGACAAATTAAAGCACTGTTTTTTCGTGGGACAAAATATTAATGATGGCAGTTACCTTTTATGAAAATAATGTGACACACTGAATATTCTTTTTTCCTTTTACAATTTCTAAGACCTATGTCAATAAATTCTAATTGAAATTTTATTTGGGAGCAAACAAGAAATGATTATGCTATCAAAACACCCGGACAAGCATTAGAATATGGATGGATGGAAGTCATTTAAATTGGTCATTTTCCTGGAGGTAATGTAACTGAACCATGAAGCAGCAAAACAACCCCATGGTGACATAATACTACCAACACCATGCTTGACATTTGTACAGTGTTCATAGGTTTGAAAGTGTCAGTCCTGGAGCAGGGCCTTCTTTCTTGGTCGATACCATCATAAAAGCAAATAACTTGAACTTGCGGTTCTTAAACTGATGATCTTGGAATCTGCAGTTGGTTAGAAATGACTCCAAGAGACCTTCCCAGTTTGTATAAATCTACAATTCTTCTTAGACCTTCACTGAAATTCATTTTTCTTGGCACTGTTTAAAACAATAAGCACTCTAAAACAAATCCTTTTTTCCCTAGCAAAGAGAAAATACCAGTTGTAGTCAACCATGGCCTTGGTCTTGTCAAGGTAAAAGATATTCTAGAACCTTCAATGTGGGCATCCATGTACTTGCTTGTTTTTTGTGACCATTCACACTTGTCTGCACAGAATTTACATTAAAATGCACCAACTACTGATGCATCCAGGTGGTGGACATCTAAGAAGCATAATAGAAATGATTACTCAACTCTCAGGTTTCCATGTCTGCGTCTGCAATGGAGTATAATCAAAGCATAACTAAAATAGCCACTTGTTACAACCAGAATATGCACAAGAGCATCTCTGAATGCACAAAAAAAGATTGGATTAGCTGGTCTGATGAGTCTAGATTTTTACTGTGACATGCTTTGTATCACGCTGCTGGCAGTGGTACAATTGTGTAAGGGATTTATTTTTTTTGCATATTCTGGACCCCTTAATACCAGCTGAGCAATGTTGAGACACCACAACCTACCTGAGTGTTGTTGCTAACCATCTCCATTCCTTTATGAATACAGATAGTGCTGTTGAGGCATGGTGCTAGCCCTGCAACAGACTTGTGGCCTGTCCAGGATGTACCCTGTCGCTTTCTTAGTGTCAGCTTTGGATAAGTTGGATAAGGACTGAAGAAAATGAATGAAAAAGTCAGATCATTCTTACTCTGGACTGTTTCAATGTATGCAAAAACTGTTTGTACTTTTTAGTAGATTAAGCACAAATATATAGTTAAACTAACAGTGTAGCTTACTCTTAACTCAAATAATAATGTAGAGAATGTCAAACACAACAGAAACTAGATTAACACAGGCTGAGACAGAGGATGATTGTCTCTGTTTCTGTCTCACAGCACAGTTGGTTAATGGGAAGTTTATACCAAAAAAACACTGATTCATGTAACAACCTTCAATGTTTTCCACACCATTCACTTCTCACCCAGAGTTCATTCACTACGCCTGCCTCATGTTATGTAGTCATAACAAGCCCTGGGGGCTTTCAGCACTGTAGTCTGACTTGTTTTTTAGGGTGAGAAAACTCGAGCCAAACACAAAACACCACGCAGTGTCTTAAAATGTCATCCTAAAATTTTTCATCCAAGAGAAACTCATACCATAGTTAATTAATATGATTTAACAGAAAAACAAATTACATTTGTAAAGAATGTTTGCTTATTTTCCGGGTCTGAAAAGGCATATTCACACATTATTTGTGTAAAGTGCAATACTGCAGAGAAAAGTTTCAAGTTGCATTCTCATTAAGAGTCAAGGACACAGAATACTTGTCTCCCACCTGTCTGGGCTCAGTCCCTGAGGTCTGCAGGTGCCTCTGGCTGTTGAAAAGGTCAATCCATTCTAATGCCGGTGTAATCCACACTCAAAACAACATGTTTGTTTCTCCAAGATAAGACTATGTTTAAAGAAACTGGAAAATGTATTACCGTATTTTCACACACCCTTAAGGCAAATCGAATTTTTATGTATGTTTTTGCAATATAGCATTTGTAAAAGTAATTGCATATCTGTCCCCCCACTGTTCAAGGTTATTATTTAAAAAGCAAATATAGTAATATATTGATATAAACAATATTATTTTAATAATAATGAGAGGGAATACTTTGTTTTCTGAAATACTCAGACCAGCCTGCTTAATACCAACAACAATGCCACCTTCAAAGTCACTCATATCATCTTTGATGATGCCCAAGAGGATTGGTTTGCTGCCTTGGGATTGGTTGATTAGATATTTATGTTAATGTTGCTTTGAAGTTGAACAGGCTTACCTAATAAAGTGATGGGTAACTGTATAAGATATTCCTACTGCAAGAGATTCAAGAAGATGTTTTGTGCATTTGGGTTTTTTTCCTAAATTCTTCTCAGTTTTTTGAAGTAGTCTGTAAGCAGCATGGTTTGGCTTTTAAAGTTATCCATACAAAACAACTATGTTGGCTCAAACTACAGATTGTCAATGGACTATTAGTTAAATGTTATGTAATGGAATTAGTTATATGGCAAATGTTATTAAAGCTAAAGACTACCATCCAAACTTAATGAAGAAACCAGAAACTTTGCCTTTTTAAAAGAGCATCATAGAGATATGCAAGTTAAGTTTTATTCGGTGAGATTTTAATTTCTCCTGAGAGAGATGATAGACATCAGTCTATAAAAGCTTATCATCATGTTGACCAAATAAAAGTTTAATCTAAGTGCCTTTCAAACAGTAAAGGAGCTGAGTTTACTGTGTCTTTACTCTCTTGTGAGGCAGAGCTGTGGTCAAGCTGTTGCTAGTCGGCTGTATTACGCTTAAGTAAAAACATAGAGGCTAAAATGCAAACAAATTAAATCTTTTTCTTGCTATGCATATTGAACAGGCACACACCATTTTTTAAATGGAGTGTAATAAACAAGCTTTTATCATTGTTTATTATTGTAAATAGTAATAAATGTCAAATGCTATATGCATCTCACCTGGTAGCTGGGACCTAACTGCTAACAAAGGCAAAGTGTTTTTCATTATTGTAAATATACTGTGGCCGTTTCTATGGTAGAAATTCTACATGCACATAATTTGCAAAGAACATATATTTTCAATCGCAAATACACTTTGCACGAAGCACACAAATTGTTATCATTCTAGCATTCGAGCAATATATCTTCTGTCACTTTTAAGCCATGTGTGGAAAAAGTCTTTTGATGAGCTAATTAATCTGAGAAGATTCTGGCCATCTGAGGGATTCTGTAGGTTTCCGTTTGGCAGTAAGACTTTTTGCTGAGTAGCAGGGGTCACTGAGCATAGGTGATGTCCATCGAATTTACATAAAAGACGGACTTAGTATCGGTTCCATCCATCCATCCATCCATCCATCCATCTATCCATCCATCACTCTGTCCAAAAACATTGACACAGAACGTATGTTGCAGAATGCTGTGTACACAATGAAATGGCAAATTATTAACAATAATATTTAGAAGGGCTTTTGGAAACCTCACCATCAAACAAAGCAAATGAGCTATGGCAGCTTTAAAGATCCAAACCAAAATGTACTGGGTTTTGTTTTTGCTTGGTCCCCATTTTTCTTCCAAGTTTCACGACACCAGCTCAGTGGTTTTTTGATAATATCCTTGACAGACAACAAAGCACTGAAAATGTACAACGACAAATGCAAACATTAACAAGAAGTGCTTAGAAGCTCTCAGGATATGAGGCAGAGTGAGAGAAGGTTAACAATGTTGAGTCATGCGTTGAAAACAAATGAGAATAA